GACTTGATATGGAGTGTTTTCGAAGAGGTGTTATTGAATGCATAAAGCAAAGTATAAAAAAAGCATTTACAATATGCTACCTTTTGGATTAAAAAAAGAAGGGAAAATTAAAAAACGTATATAAGAATGTGCTTATCTTTACAAAAAGTAATAGAAGTGTAAGCATGAAAACTTAACTTGGGTATCTACAAGGGGGAATGGGGCAGAAAGAATACAGGAGAGAGTGACACATCTCTTAGTATGCTTTTTTGTATTGTTTTGACCTTTGTATCATTTTGACTATGTTAATATTCTACCTATTTAAAAAATTAAATTAAATTAATAAGAATGGAAAGAAAAAAAAATCCCTAAAACTGAAAGGAAACTGAAAAAAAATAAACCTAACTCTATTTCAAATAAATATATTACCACACTGGAGGGCAAGAAAGGAGAGGAAGAAAGAACTAATCCGAGTTATGTATGAACACAGCAGGGAGGGTTGGCAGGAGTGAGGGAAGCTTTGTTCATTGTCATGTGGTATGGGTGGAGGAATTCTCACACAATTTTCTATGTAATACGGGATTAAGCCAATAAGTGAATATGTTGACATTTTGGGAACCTGGGTTTTCACTGTAGAAGAGGGACACGTAAATATGGCAGGGCAAGGAAAAGGAGCAACCTTGTAGAGGTGGATTGGAATTGGAGGTATTGGTGTGGGCTCATGATTCTAACACATGAATATGTAAGTGTGTATGTGTATGTATGTGCACATGTATATACATTATGTGTGAAAGGTATGTGTGTATATATGTGTGTGTATGTATATACATGCATGCATTTCCTTATTCTGTCCTGTGAAAGGGCTAAGAAACAAAGATACCCTCCCAGTAGCAATGAGCACACCCAGAGCCCAGATATTGATCTCCAATACCACTCCCACTAAAAAGAAGCAGGGCTCCTCAGACAAATGACTGATTGCAGGGCTAATGCAGAGCAGGCGCAAGATGAGCCTGGAACCTCTTGTTATGACAGAAAGTAAAAAAGTGCTCCAAAACAGGGATGGTGACATAACAAAATATCATGGAATTCAGCTAGTAGAGGCATCACTGGTCAAACCTGTGGCAATTTAAGCACCAAAATAATTGAGTACGGGGAGAAATAATAAACTATTGGAAACACTGATGAGTACCAGTCCACACAGACAATAGATAAATACATTTTACTGCTTATGGTATAAATATATTCTACCATAGTAGAATGCCAGGGGCTGACTGACAAATATGGAGGTGGTGCTGGAGCTGGAAAAGCATCATTTTGCAACTATCATGTTAAGGATTGGATCAGGCAAGTCACCAACTGGTGCTCTATCTAGGGGGAAATCAATGAAGAGCAGGGTACTTGCACGATTTCAGTGTCTCGTCATAGACTGCTTACCGGTTACAAGGAAGAAAAAAGGCAATGATCATGTAGTGAAATCAGCAACACCTTGACTTGGAGATCAAAATCAACATCACCAGTGAGGACCAGTGAGGACCAGTGAATGCCAGGTGTGACTGTATAAGAAGAACCCAATGGCCTAGGTGGGATTCTGGCCAAGACCTCAAAACCTGCATCTAGTGACATGAGAATATCAGACAAACCCAAAATGAGGGATATTTTATTAAAAATAAGAAGTTGCCATTGTATTCTTCAAAAATGCCAAAGTCATAAATGTCAGAGAAAGGCTGTGGAAATATTCCAGATTACAGGAGGCCAAAAAGACAACAACTAAACGCAACACCCGACCCTAGACGAGATCTACTGTTGGAGGAAGATGTGCTATAAAGAACATTAGGAGGTTAACTGATGAACTTGGAATGCGAATGGTAGACCGGTGAATTAGATCAAAATTTGTATTAATACTACATTTATTGACCAACCATACTAGATTATGTCAGAGAATATGCCCATCCTTAGGAAACATACTAGAGTATTAAGGGGTAAATTACCCTGCAGTAGTTCAGACAAAAGGTGTGTATGTGTGTTAGCACAGATGATAAAGAAAATAGGGTAAAATTTTAACAACAGATGAATCTAGCAGCTAAGGATGTAAGAGTCTTGGTGTATTATTTTTAGTTTCGCAGTGTTTCTGTAACTTAAAATTTGTAAATTCCAAATAAAACAATTTTAAATGTATGTTCCAACATTTGAGTAACATTCCCTTCTCCTACAGGTGCAAACTCTCCTTGGCCAGCGGAACCCCCAGCAGAGGGCAGTTCTGCAATCAAGCCATCTGAGTTCAGGGTGCTTTGAGCAATTACTTTCCTCCATGTCTCTGCATCTCCTCTGGAGGGCGACACCCACCTCATGGGCAGCTGGACAACAAAAACATTATTATGCTGCAAGTACTTAGCTCTAGCTGGACCAATGTGAGCTATCACTTGACTGGCTTCATTTTTCATCAGCATAAACCCCTGCAGGGTGCAGAGCTGAGAACAGCCTGCAGTTCTAAGAGCCACAGGTGGTCTCCATCCAGCAGGACTGGGAACCAAGGATGAGCGAACTGCATGGGGCTGGCCTCCACGGGCTGCCACCTGGCAGAACTCCTCTGCGTGGCTGCCATGCCCCTGTCCTGCCTCAGCCTGGGAAACTCAGTGCCCTAGTGCTCTCGACCTTGACCCCCACTTCCCCCACCTACAAGGCCCTTTGCCTCCAGCTTGCACCCTCCTTCAAGGCCCACTCCTGCAGGCTTCCTTGGCACTTGGCTAGAGCTGCTTCAGCTCTTGTCCTAATGAGGGGTCAGATGTGGCATTTCTGTATGGATTCCCTATGGCCCTGTCTCTCCTCTCCCAAGGGAACCTTTTGTGACAGTACAGTTCTGATAAAAAGCACTGTGAGCCCTGGAGAATAGGCCAAAGAGAGGGCATGTTTCTTTTGGCTGGGGACTCTCTTAAAGGCCCTGAAACTGGCCTTCAGGCCAGGCCTGTCTTGACAAGGATGCTGGGCCTCCGCCTCCTCCCCAGTCTGTCATTTGGGAAGGACGCACTGTGCTGCTGTTCCCATCTGCCCTTCCCCGCCCCCTCCCCACACTCTCCACTCAGCTCTGAGCCGCATGGTGACCTTTACAGACCACAGCGATGGTATCCTCCCCTCTGCCCTCTGTCCTGTTGGCTCAGTGAGTGGGATCCCAGGGGGAGCCTGGGGGAGGGAGGGAAGAAGGGAGGGAGGGAGGAAGGGAGGTCAAGTGTTAATGCCTTATCTCCCTGTCCTCAGGTCCCAGCCCAGGTAGGGCAGTGCCTCCATTGCACCCTCCCTGCCTCTGCTTTCAGCAACACCCCCTCTCCTCGTCCCTTCCGCCCCAGGGGCATAAGTGCTGCCCAGGGCTGGGGGATGCTGCACAGGGTCCTGTGGGGTCCCTACACCATGCACTGGCCTTTGGACTCAATTCTTCAAATTGCCCACCTTGTGTCTGTTTCCTGCCTAGCCCTGCCTCAGCCAGAGCCCCTCACGCAATGCCCACCCCCCTGAATGTGCCTGGCGTATGTCTGCAGGCCCCGTGGCACCATGCTCAGTGGGGGGAGCCACTTCGAAGCCACTCACACAGCAGAACAAAAGCAAGGGCTGCCACCTCAGGCCTCCTTCTGAGGGTCACTGCTTCCTGTTCCAACTTTAATCTTTTCATAACTTACTGTTAACGGAAAAGCATTACAAGAAGAGAATTAAGAGAGAAAAGTTGGTGGAGGAACGCCTTCTTTTTTGGTTTAAGCCTTTGGTCATCAAGTCTTTAGGAGTGCGATTCAGCTAGAGGAACATGTCGCAGAACGCATTCTTCAAAATAGTTTCGAGAGACACTCGGGGCTCTTTAGTATTCTTTCTATTAAAATTAAAATATTAGCTAATGCTCTTTGCTTGTCAGAGCGAGTCTGGCAACTTCTCTGATGCATTGTCCTGCTTGAAAGTGAAGAAGAAGGCCTCTCATGTGGAGGCCTCCCTCACATCCCTCTGGTCTCCTGCTCACATAGTGACAGAGAAACCCTGACATGCTGTCTCTGAGATACTTGTAGGCCCAGGACAAAGCTGTGGCCCACTGTGTCAGGCCCTGGTGGCCAAGGCTGCTGTTTCCACAGCCCCACCCTGCGCTGGAACACTGCCCCCACTTCCAATGCCTGAGGAGCCCCAGGTGACCTGGAGAGCAGTGGGAAGGCCCCTCCTGGCTGCAGGAGTGTGGTTTTCCCATATCCAGAGCCAGAACTTATTTGGTGGGACCTCAAGGCTGAGAAATCAAAATTGCTTTTCACATTTCTTTGGGTCACCCCACTGCTGCCTTCATCTCTAGAAGGAATGAGTTTCCTGTCTCTAGCAGGAACAAGCAAACCTGGCCTTTGGCACCCTGAACTCTGGAGGAACCTAGAGATATCAGGATGGTGTTTTTAATCGGAGCCCTAGGAAAAAAGTAAGTCTCTTAGCTCAGTGGAGGCTCATCATTTTTGAGGACTATGAACCCTGGCTAATAGGAGTTGGGTGAGGGGCTCTGTGCCTGGTGGCCTGGATTGCATAGTATGTGAAGCATATCTCTCAGGGGGCCTTCCAGCTAGCTGGGGGTTGAGGGAGACTGCACAAGGCCCAGTGTGGGGGCTGCAGAGGGTCGGGAGGTGGGCAGAGATTCCTGGAGGGTGAGTGGACCAAGGAGGGCTTCCTGGAGGAGGTGGGATTTGACAGTGGATAAGCCCTGGAAAGGAGAGAGGAGAGGGAAGGGCAAGGAGGAATGTGACTGAAAAGCTCAGAGGCCTGGTGGGAGGAAGGCAAGACAGGAAACGGTCAGACATAAGGCTGGAAGGACCTTGACTGCAAGTGGAGGTATTCATTCTTTCTTTTTCCCTTTTGCTTCCTTGAGCAACCCTAAGTTCACTATTAATCTCCCAAGACCTATCTTGTTCATAAATGTTGATTTCCCCTGCACACCTGTTCATATTCCTGATGGAAATGTATTATAAAATCACTCCATTCAGCTGGTGATTACCATGGTAATCAGGCACGCTCACCTGCAGGCCAGCATTCCTCTTGAAAACAAGATTCTGAAGATACAGGCTTTCATTTCACTGTGTTGTGCCTGGGGAGACAAGGGAGTGAAGTGGGCATGGGGCGGGGTGTTGGGGATGGTATCCTTCTCGGGAGAAGTCTTCGCAGACAGCACAGCCCCAAGAGCCCAGGAAGGCTCCAGAGGAAAGTAGGGGATGGGCCAGGTAGGGGCAAGTAACTAGGGGACAGAGCCTGTACACCCTGGTGCTCTACAGTATGTATACCACTGGGGACAGCTCTGCGGGGTCCATGCAAAGAGAGGATCTGAGCTACTAGGTGCCCAAGATCAGGGACCCTGGCTGGAATATCATTCAACCTCCCACCTCTACCCCAGGAACCACCTTTACACCTCCTGGAACATTACAAAGATGTTATTATTATTGTTTCTCCCTAGTACAGGATTGCAGTTTAAGATCTGGTGAAAGCCCCAGATGTTTGAACTGTATTATTTGTACAGTTTATTTTGAGTTTTCAAGAACTCCAACCAGACTGCTTGGCTTCAAATCCCAGCTCTACCACTTACTGACTGTGTGACCTTGGGCAAGTTACTTAACCTCTCTGCACATTCTCACTGGTAAATGGCAGATAATACAAGTTTCTAATGCATAGGATTGTTGTGAGGATTAATTGAGTAATTACATGTGAAATGGTTAGAACAAGCCTGTCAAGAGGAAGTACTCAAGAATGCCCAGGACATAGTAGAGCCTCCCCTCTAAGTGGATGGGGGACAGGGAGTATTGAGGGGACAACCAGAGTATTGGACTTTGCACACACATTTCCTTACCTCCTCCTCCTGACACCCCCCTGTATCCCTCTCTAAACAATGAGCAGACTCCAGCCCAAAAAGCCCAAAGCTGCCTGGTAACAACGGTGGGTCTGGGCTGGAACCCGGACCCTTTGCCTCCCTGCCCCCAGCATTTTCACTTTCCTTCCCAGAGATGTGGGTGTGCTGGCCTCTGGCTGTCCGCCCAAAACCAGGATGCTGTCTTCTTTCTCAAACCCAATCACCCTCTTACTTTGACTGCCTAGGCCTAATGAACATGGGGTGCTGGAATACTTTCGTCCTAAAAGTGTATAAACATCCATTGTGTTAAGTCACTCCTGCAATTGCTGGTATGTGTTAGATATGGTCTAATTAAAAACAACCACCATAGTAGTAATAGTAGTTGCATTTACTGCTCATGCTGTTCTAGGCCTACACTCTCTTCCCCTTAAATATAATAGTATTTGTCATTAATGGAATTATTTTACATTGTACCAGACATCATATAATCCAAATCAGGCCAAGTGCTGTGAGCTCTCCCTTACAGAGCCCACCCCACCAGAGGCAGCTGACAGGCCATTATTCTGTGTCTTGCAAACTCTGTGTCCTGCAGTGATAAGAAAACTCCACCAATTTGATGCTTTATCTGCTTGCAGGTTGAAGAAAGATATTATTTCAATCAAGATAATGATTCTATTTCTTGGACGGAAATGAGATTTTTTTTCATTGCTTCATGGGGGTGCCACCAAAATCTGTCTTGGGGCTTTAAACAGGTCATGCACAAACTAGAGGGTTTTCTTGCAGCCTGGGAAAGGGTGTAAACAGGAAGGAGAAATGAAAAAAGGGTGCTCATTTGCAAAGGAAAACATACACACCAGGCCTACAAGATTACGAAGTAAGTTCTATATGGACATTTATAGGCATTAGACAAAACCTTCCAAAATTTGGAAGATAAAAGCACACAGTGTAAGCACAATAGCCTAGATTCCAAACAAGGTCAATGGCCTATAAAAGCCATAACGATAGCGAAGCTTCATAGACTAGACAGACCATTAGCTATGACAAGACGTTAAGAGTCTTAGCCTGCCTGTCACACGGGTAGATTTCCTGTGTAACTTTGCTAATGGATGACCTAGCTGCTTTTCCACACTTCCCATGACAAGGGAGCACACCAACCGAGTATGCATTCCATCACTGACCAGCTCCTATGTTGAGAAAGTGCCTCTAAATTACCATAAAGTCACTTCATAAAAGGAACCACCGTGAAAAATTCACAAGGTGCTGACACTGAAGTAGATCTAAAAACGCTTTGGAAAAAATACACATTTCAGTAAGTCATCAACTAATATGCAAATGACATTAGGTAATAGATGTCTAATGAAACACACGAAATAATTTGAACTAAATAGTGAATTTAGTGAAATTTTAAATTACTTTAAATACTTGGGAATTTCAAGGGTGGTAATGCAACATCTCAAATTCTCTATCTGTGATTTGCTTTAATGAGGAAATAACAATTTGCAGTTCTTTTATCAATTGTTTACATAGTAACTCGAAGGAGTTTAGAAATGTTTATGAAGTTTTTATGTATTTGGAGCCTTCCACTGAGTGCTGACTTGGTGAATTGCTCTTCCTCCAAAGAAAAGGCAAATTTCAGCTCAACGCCTTCTAGAACAGCTACCACTCTGGCTCTTTAGGACCAAGAAGGTGGTATTTTAACTGTGCTGATCAGACTCACTGAAACTTTGAAATCTAAACCACACCATTATCAGTTTGGACAAACTAAACTATCACCAGAAAATAACTTGAAGCCCTGGTAATGGTGGGGTTGTTACCTGGAGAGGAGCCAGGCTGCTTGGGGACAGAAGTGGGAAGGAGACTTTTCACAGTATACTTTTTGGTACTTTTGAATTTAGAACCATAGGACTGTATTACCCACTGAGAATGAAATCACAGTTTAAGAAGCACACTGTTGCTTTGGTAAAAACAGATTTTGACAATACTGATTTCTATTTTAATATCTATACTTTTAAAATGCAAACAATGCAATGAACTGCTTGCTGGGTCAGATGTTAAGTACGTTTGGCTGTCTTCACAATGGTGATGCTCATCAGCATGGTAGTAAATGCAATGAATGCCCCACTCCGGCCCTCTACTTGTTGGGGCACCCACTCCCCAGCTGCTTTCACTTGCAGTGTTCTAAACTCTGGCTCTTGGTCAAGGTGGATGCCTTGGAGGTGACACCAGCAGTACCATTCCACAGTGGCTGATGACTGATGAGGGGATATGGGAGGCCTGCCCCTTGTCCCCAAGCCAGACTTCACTGCAGGGCTATTCATATGGATCAAGCCAAGGAAGAGCCCTGCCCTGACATATCTGATTGGCTCCTCCTCCCTAACCTGCTTCCGCGCCTCCCTGACAAGTTTTCCCTCAGAGCTTTCCCCTGATACCTCACATGTACCTGAACCCTGTCTCAAGCCCTGCTTCTCGGGAGTCCAACCTAAATCAGTCCAACCTAAAACAGCTGTACATAGAGCCCTCTTGCACCTTTCCAGAGGGTTCTCTCTGGCAACAGAAGCACACATGCACCTTCCTCTTTGAGGGCAGAACCATAACCACCTTCCTGCCTGGCCAAAGACCACCAGTCTGACACTGTTCAACCATGAGAGCCAGCACAGCAAAATGCTGCCTACCCTGAGTAGAGAGTTCCCACAAGCAGACCCCTGTGGGGCCCCACAATAAGTATTCTTCTTGCCCAGGATGAATGGGCAGGAGGCAGGGGCAGCCTTGGCCTGTTCCACAGTCAGAGTCCAGTTACGAGCAGAAAAGTCGGTGTGAATGTCAGCTCTATCAGTTACTAGCTGGCCAACTCAAGCAAAATAGGTCACTACTCTGAGCTTCAGTTTCCTCATCTGCAAAACAACCATACTGATAGCCTCTGTGAAACTCTTAAGAGGCAATACTGTCAAACACGCTGTAAACTGGTAACACTATGTCAATACTGGTTGTAGTTCTTGAGATTTAAACCAGTTAGCTTCCCTTGCTTGCTTGGAACAAATAACTAACCTATGTTAAATAAATAAATCTCGAGCTGCCCCTCGTGGGCACAGTACCTAGAGCTCCCTTTGTGAGAGGCAAGTCCGGGGATAAGCAAGCTGGGAGCACTGTCCTGGCAACTGCCCGCCTGGAGCTCAGGGTGCATCCCTATCCCTGACCTCAAGGGCCTCTGGTGGTCCTCGGCTACAGCTGCCTCGAGAAGGCTGTCTCTTTCTCTCCCTCTCTGAGATATGGGGAGGACTTGCAATGTCAATTTCCTGTAATCTACCTAGCGTCTATATTAATGTCAAACACAACCTCAAATTTGGTGAAAAATCCATATAGCCACTCATGTGAGTGATAAGTCACAAACTGGCAGAAAGGTAATTTTATTTACATAGATGAGGGACACCTTATTCCATCATGATTCTTTGCACATGGACCATTCATGAAGTCATTTCAAGCCTTTTACCACCTGACCCTGCCCAGTGTCACCAGGTTGCCTTCCTTCCCCGTCAGACCCATGTTGGCAACATCCTCCCATCAGGCCTTTGGGGGCCTCCATCCTGGTGCGTCTGCCCTCTTTCTTCCTCCCTGGAATGGTCTCCCTCCCCCATCAGCCTGGTTCAAGACCGTGGTCCCCAGAAAGTCTTCCATGACCAGTCCTGTCACCAGCAGTTCTGCCTGTGCCACATGAGCCAGAGGGGACCTTACACCCTTTCATAAAGTTTTTTAATGGTCTCATGTGCAGATGTCTTCAATCCCCACACTGGACTGAAAGTCCCTCCGAAACTGAGCCCAAGCCTGCTGCTCCTCTTGTATCTCTCAGAGCCTCCAGAGGGTGCCAGGCACCCCGTGATTAATGATATTACCAGATGGAGTAATGGGTTGGGTCATCTGATTGCTTTTAGTTTATCACACTGTTCCATGGCCTAGATGAGAATTTACTGCTCTAAATTGGGTCAACTGAGCAGCAAACTTGGAATTGTACCAAGTCTTTGTGGTCCCAGGGTGAAAAAATGCATGTCCTCCTTTCCCCAGAGGACCCCTGTTCGCCCTGCAGGCCAGTCAACCAAATGGGTGGGCCTCTCTTTCTTGAGCCAGTGGGAGGACTCTTCACTCAGAGGGCAGAGCCAGGAAGCAAACCAGCTGCCTTCAACTTGAAGCCTTACATTCCTGGGTCCACCCCACCCAGCCAGAGGTGCCCTCTGGAAGAACCAAAAGCCGATTCCACATGGTCATGTTTCCCTCTCCAAACAGGGAAACCCACCCACTTCCCAGGAACATTGTCAAACCACAGACCTGAAAAAGCGAAATTCATACTCACAAGCAACGATGCCTTCGTCTTAAATTTCAGGCCAGCAGCTTCTCCACAAACCTGCTCATTTCCTGCAAAGAGAAGAAAGGGATGGAGAAGCATATTAGCGTCTGCTCTGGGTATCCTTCGGCAGATTCCTGGCCGACCTCGGGCTTCTGCACCTTCTCGGCGTCCTCACTCCCAGCAGCACTCTCCCCTCGCAGGAACACCGTGTGCTAGCTGGGTGGGTGCCCTGGCTCCTCGCACGTCCCCCTCCCTCTCCCCGGCGACATGCCAGTCTCAGATTGACCACTGCCTCCAATTCCCTGAAGGCGCTCGCCTTCTTCCCACTCGGAGTGAGGCCTCCTCTTCGGTAGCATGGGGTTGCCTAGCAACCCTGCGCGCCGGCTCGGAAGGCCCTCCTAAATTGGACCTCACAGCACAGGGCATCTCCTTGTACAGCTGCCTGAATCTTAACAATCTGGTTCTGAATAATAACACAATGGTAATTGCATGCACGGGCCCCAAACTACATTTAAATAATGTTCAAGAACTGACACAAACCAACAAAGGCCAGAAAATGCATTGCGGAGGTTGACTGGAAGGCCAGGCGGTAAGTTCAGTTCGGGAGGGAGCTGACACCAAAGACTTGAGTTAATGACAATGCCAACCTGAACTGTGAATTCTCCTGCCTTTCTGTCTGAGTGTGTCACCACTTTAATGTGTTTTAAGTGAGTCTGGGATCTGTAGAGGCAATTAATGCCCTAAGGTAGGGATGCTTCAAGACAAGATGCCCTTTAGTTCTCCACAGCAGCAGCTGGGTAGATTTTTGGAGGGGGTAGGGGAGGGGGAGAACACAGGACAGGAAGGCAGAAGTGTGCATCAGTGATGTTCCTGGGCTTTTACCATCTTGGCTAAATACATTTTAGAAGGTGGGAGGAAGAACTTACCAAGAGAGAGCACAAAGCACTTGCTACCTCAACCAGGGACAAATTCAACATGACTGATGTGTTTCAGGATGAGAAGTGAAGGCAAAGAGGCCATGACACTGGTTAACATGCAGACTGAAGCAGCTAAGCATGGTGTGGGGAACGGCCGTGCGTGCCAGAGTCCAGCCCTCAATCTGGGTCCCTGGCAGAGGGTAACGAAGAGCTCTGCTCAAGGGGGATGGCATGCTAGCAAACCGCTCCTTGAGGAGTGATAGTGAGGACCAGCCCACCATCCCCTGATAATTCGAAAGCCTGAAGCACTTTTTTTAAAAGCTCAAATCCTCCTGCAAGTATATGTTAGAAGTATATAATCCTACTTGGATATTTGCACATGCATGTTCTTACAGCATGACTCACAATAGGCAAGAGATGGAAGCAACCCAAATGCCTGTTGAGAGATGAAGAGATAGGCAAAATGTGGTCTATATACACGATGGAATAGTATTCAGCCTTAAAAAGGAAGGAGATTCTGACACATGCTACAACATGGAGGAATCTTGAGGACATTATGAAACCTGAGTGAAATAAGCCAGACACACCAGGACAAATTCTGTATGAGTCCACTTACATAGGTACCTAGAGTAGTCAGATTCATGGAAACGATAAAAGTACAGCAGACACAACATTCCTCTGCAGACTTTTGTCCATCTTCATTTTGAAAGTCAAAGTGGCCTATTCACGAGCTCAGACAAGGAGACTGTCCCAGGACAAAAGGAAAAACTGGACAGTGTGACCCTGGGCCAGGGAATCCTAAAGACTATAAGCAGGATGTTGATACAGCATAGTCTCAGATGGAAGGGGCTGAGCTTTAAGAAACAGGATTCTCTTGTGCCACCTCCTGAAGTCCAACACCATCACCATGGAGAATGCGGCCTCCCTCCACCAACCAGCCCTGTCCATCATGTCCCTGCCCGCCTCCTCCCCCAGGTACACTGGTGCAACTACACTCCCATTCTTACTCTTTGCTAACCCCACACTCCCTGCCTAGAAAGTCCTTTTCTGTGCCCTCCACCTGACCTAATCCAAATCTTGTTAGTGGACCTACATCAAGTTCCACGTCCTCCATCAAGCCTTCCAGATACCTCCCACATCTGTTTTCTCTGATGTCATAGCCTACAATCAAGCACTAGCTTAGGCACTGCCTTATATTCATGTCTGAAAACTTGGTCTCTCCCAAGAAATCCCTGGCAGGAGCCCTGGAAAGAGAGGGACTGCCTCTAACACAGGCCCTCGGTCAGGGCTGAGCATGCCGTGGGCTGCTCCACCAAGGCTCTTAGAGGGACTAGCAGCCTTACGTCCTCTCTCAGGGGATCTGATCACAGCACCACTGCCCAGGGCATGGAGCTCTCCCAGCTGCTGAGCCCTGGAGCTAAATATTCCAGGCGACAGGCAGGTCCTCCAGTCATTTAGAGGTGTAACTCAATGTCTGCAATAAACAATTGAGCATTTACAGATTTTATTAATTTGGAAAGGTCATTAGAGCTAACAGCTTCTCTGAGTGAGAGTGAATAAATAGCATGTATAATTTTTTTCAGTGTCCTGATTTTTTTTTAGAATGTGCTTTAAGCCTCAAAAACCAGTGTTACAAGTAAAAAACAGGGGAAAAAATCCCAGCTTGTGAGACAAGAGGAGGCCAGCAGGAGCTCTGAACAAGCCTCTTCCCCTCTCCTAGCCTTAGTCTTCCCATTTGTGAAAGGAGGGAGTGATCACTAAGGTCTCTTCCAATTAAGAAAATAAAATTATGATTCAAGGTGAGACTGTCAAGTTAGTAACTTTCTGTGTTAACAGTTACTCTCCCACCCTCACCCATCCTACCAGGTGTTGGGCACCACTTCACATCTGGGTAGAAAAAGTGTGATTTCCAGACCCCTCAGCCAGGAAAGGGCCTTAATGATTTCAGGTGCCTTCCCAGACCCTGACCTGGAGGCCCTCAAATCCTGTGATCTGGCTGTCTCGCTCTCATTAGATCATTAAGGAACACTCCAGACAAATGACTTGTTTTCTCGAATCTCCAGGAATGACTGGAAATGGGCCAGAGTGCATTGTCCAGGCTCCGTCTCTCCAGTCCGTGGCTCCATGACTGGCTGGTGCTGTCTGTCAAGGGCCAGGCCTCCGTGGTGCAGATGCTCATGGCTCTCCTCAAGAGAAGGAAGCAGTGTTCGAGGAGCAGAGGGGTCTGGCTCCAGCCTGCTGGCCTGGGAGAAACAGCTGGCCCTTGGCTAGACTGTGCAGCGACATACCCCCCTTTCTCTGTCTTTGTGCCTTCTTCTCTCCTTCCCAAGTCAGATGACTCTGGGATGGTGGGAGGCTGGAATCTATGTGCAAACGTGGGACTGCAAACACCCAGGCCCCTCTGCAGATCTCCAGTGGCTCTCAGTAGCAATAAGAAGATAAGGTGTGAATCAGATCTGGATGATGAACAACTTAATACTAATATTAATATCAGCCTTAGTAGTTAATATTTACTAATATTTGTGTTAAGTTTGATGATTTAAAGAAGTATTTGCCCACATATTTGTCAGGCAGGGAGGATAGATTCAACCCATTTATTGAGCACTGACTGTCTCCCAGGATCCTTGCTACCTGCTGGGATGCAGTGATGAAAAGGCCAGGCTCCTGTTTGCAAAATCCCGCCAGGGCAGTTCATAGTTAGGAGAGTGGAGGCACAGGGAAGCTCAGTGACTTTCTCAGAGTCATCCTACTACCAGTGCTCAAAACAGGTCAATCACAAAAGATTTTTAGAGCAGTGAAACTATTCTGTATGAGACTGGAATGGTAGATACATGTCATTATACATTTGTCCAAACCCATAAAACTGTATAACTTGAAGAGTGAACTCTAATGTGAACTATGGAATTTGGTTAATAATGATGTATCAATATTAGTTCATTAGTTATAACAAATGTACCACACTAATGCAAGATATTAATTAAGGGGAAACTTGGGGGGCAGGGGAGGAATAGAAGTATATAGGAACTCTACTTTCTGCTCAGGTTTTCTACTAACCTAAAACTGCTCTATAAAATAAAGTTCATTAATGAAGAAAAAAATCAGCCACTCCTAAACACAATACCCAGGGCCATCACTCAGCCCCCACTGGGCATCAAGGCCCCACAACAGGGATTTGGAGGATGCACTAGAGACCAGCACCTTCCTCCAAATTTGAACAACCAACACCCTTGTGAGTGTGGGAAAGCCAAGTGGGGAGGCCAGCAGGACCCCCAGCTGGTGACACACACAGAGCCATGCATCCCAGCAACCCAGACACCTCTGGCTACTGGGGCAGTGACCCAGCCTTCACTTATCCATCCTGAGCACACACTGTGCCAGGCTCACCCTCCCTGCTTTCCAGAGGGGGGTCAAAAAGAGACTCAGCCCCTTGCCCACAAGCTGGACTCCACTCAGCGTTTTCCTATTCCCTCTTTTCCCAATACCAGGTACAGCAGGTACTTGATCAACAGCTATTGATTTTAATGGCAATTATTTGTACACCTCTTGCTTTCCCTACTAAAGGAAAGAATTCAGTTGTAAGCCTTCCTAACACTCCAGCAAAGTGTTAACTGAACAAAATGGGCAGCAGAAGTCAGGCAGAAGTAAAATGCCACAGGGGAGACATTTTGTTTTGTCATGGGGCCACTGTCCACAGCCTGAGAACCTATCTCCACGGGGCCTCTCCCAGGCGCATGCTGAGCCCCACCCAGCAGGATGGGCAAGTCCCCGCTCTGCTGGGAAGGGCTGAGAGGCCCTGAAATGGGGAGACAGTTGTCTTCAAGCAGCCTTCTGGGGCAGGAGGGAGGCCAAAGCAGAATAAAGGCCCTCAGCCCAGGGGCCTGAGGTGGGGTACCTTGGGGAAGCCCAGTAAGTGTTTGTGGAGAGTGAACTGGGGCCCAGCCCATCCCGCCTTGCCCGGCAGGGCACCAGGCCAGTTTGCCTGGTCTGATTCAGAGAAGAGGAGGAGACTGTGCATGTCTGTGGGTCCCTGAGAGACAGCATCTCCTAAGGCGAGTGAATCCTCCTTTGTTCACTGCTTTAGGGGCGATGGCCCCTTAGAAGTCCAAGTTCCTGTGACCTTGGCCTCGAATCTTAAAATAGCCCTGAGAAAG